ACCGTGGGTCCCTTGTCCTCATTCCCTTCTTTATTAAAGAAATTCGTATAGGAGAGCAAAAGCTGCCTCCCCAAATTATGCCTTTGACAAAAGGTTGATTTCAAACTACTTATGAAAAAGGACACTTGCATGTAAATTTCCTGGAGGGCATGGGAAGCCCTAATTACGTTGTCTTTTCAGTGGAGAAGGCAGACCTGGAATCTGCAGTGATCTATTGTGCCGCCCAGGTAAACTCCCCAGTTGATCTCCCTTCTTTCCCAGTCTCCCTTGAGTTCGTGGGGGCCGTTCAAGACCGTGTCTGACGTCAAGTGGTCGAGCTACTTAGTCATGCTGGGTCTCTCCCACGTATACAGCAGGAAAACACGTTATGACTCACGTTCCTTTCCACTGTCCTGATGGCTATCTGTCAGCCCAGAACTCAGAGGGGCAGGGGGTGATCTCGTCAGTGCCCTAGTGCTAGAAACTACTACTTGAGATCCTCCAAGTTTGGCCCTTGAGTGTACACCTCGCCTGCAGTTTCTTTAATCTTCACCTCCTCTAGTTCCAGAGGCCTGGCCTGGCCTTCCTGCTATCCACGGCCAATGCCTTCTTGCACCCAGAGCTCAGGCTGGCTCCTTACTGGTCACTTTACCTTCACCTAAAGTTGCCCACACTGGATTCCTGGATGAGCGTGAGCATGCCCCGTCAGGCTCCAGCTGACCTCACCTGGCTCCCGACCTTGCGCGGGACTCGGCCATCCTGACTCGGCTCGCGGGTGTTCTCACTTCCCCGTGCTGGCCTCTCCCAACCGCCTTTGACGTTTCTGCGTCCTCTAGAAGGGCAGCCCTCCTGAAGCTTCGTGCTAGGCCCACCACACTGCCCACTGTCTTCGTCTGAACTAACAACTTTTTTCATACACATCTAATTTTTGGGGTTCCCCACTAGAAATGCCTTTATCGAGCAGGTTAATAAATTCACATGATTCGGGCAGCTTTTCTTATATGAGGTTGCAGTTTCAGAATGAAGAATTAGTTGGAGCTCAACAGCTCACGTCGATGTCCCCTCTGCAAAGGCCCTGTCTAGGCACACGGCCTGGGAAGGCGCTATGAGAGAGACAACTTAGCTGATTTTCATCAATGCTGCTTAAATGACCTGATGAAAACAAAACGCTGATGTGTCTGCTTTACAGACCGTGTTACTAATAAGTGGGATCGAGGGGTACCAAACTTAGAGCAGGGAAAGACAACCTGAAAAAACCTTGAAAGCTAACCCTTGAGAACTGACTGAAGAACGGGAGGGAGGCTGGCGTGGGGAGGAGGAACAACGAAGAGGGGAAAATCACAAATGACTGTGGTGTTGGGCACCCTATGTTGGCAATACCGGATGGATGGAAACAGCCCAGATGCCCAAAAGTAGATGACTGGATTAAAAAGATGTGGCACATGTACACAATGGAATATTACTCAGCCATCAAAAAGATAAACACATGGATTTTGCAGCAACATGGATGGAGCTGGAAGGGGTCATACTGAGTGAAATAAGCCAAAAAGCAAAAGAAAAATGCCAGATGGTTTCACTCATGGCAGGAGTATAAAGGACGAGGGGAGGAAGGTAATAATGAACAACTATATACCAGAGACATTTTGTGGGGGTGGAGTGGCGAATGGGATCCAAAATGGGGCAGGGGGAGTGTACTGCAGTATGGTGATGGCACATAGGTGAATTGATGATGGGAAGACCACCAGGAGTACAACTGAGATGGAAAAATAAACTATTATATTATTTAAAAAATAGAACTGTAACACTATACCGTAATAAGATAAAAATGTGTGTAATAAAAGTTATGTGGAAAAAAAGAATAAAAAAAATCAAGTCTCTGGTCTAGATATTTTCATTCCAGTTTAAAAACCACTCTTCTGGCCCTCCCTGGTGGCGCAGCGGGTTAAAGCACAGCACTGAGAATCTGAAGCCACTTCCGCATGAGTTCGATTCCCGCCTGCAGCCT